CCATAACTTCGTTCAGAGAATCGTTTGGCAGATTTTGAATGCAGATTTGAAATCAGCATCAAAAAATACGCCTAGCAGTATAGGTACCATTTCAAATGGCCACTTCGACTTGGGATCCTTCCCTTGTAAGATCTCGAAGAGCTCGATCCTAACACGATGGGTTTTGGAGTTTGGAAGACAGATTTCTGTATGAAACTGATAGCTCCATCAATATTGTTTTTTGCTCCATAGGGAAAACATTCTAAAGCGGTTTAATACATTCATCAATGCTTATGCTTGAAACAGGAACACCTGGCGGTACGTCCGATGTAACTTCGGCCGCCTCACCGACGAGCGCTCCCTTTAAAAGGGACGGCGATCGGTTCGATGAAAGAATGAAAATGTATTGGAGCTCCTTGATATGTTGATAGACAGGCATCTTCTAAATTATACCTTCGGAAAAAAGCCACGAAAACCTATTCTCTCACCCAAATAGCGATGATGTTCCACGTGATACTTCTTGAAAGAAATGGATATTGGTATTCCAATGGGAAGATTGGCAATCATTCCAAAAAATCGATTCTGAATGTGCCATCAGTAACGACTGAAATGATGGGCTCACCGAGAACTTACCGAGAGTGGATATTTGTTTCCAAATACAGTATTGTGAGAGATATCATGGATAGCCAATGTCATCGCATGATTAATAACGCCGCCACAAAAATACGCTTCTATAAATATTAGCGTCCAGCTTGCATCTGAAACAGACACTATCAAACGACTCGTATTGAATTTTTGCAAGTATTCGGAGACGAAAGCTAATTTTTTATTTACTACTTGGCTAACGCAAAAAATAGTTCAATTTCTAGCCGTCGAACAACCGACATTTCAAAAAAGATACCTAACTCAGCTCACTACCACGAGTAGCCACAACTTTCCATATTTTTCACATCGAATCATATTCGGACAAAATTCTTTGAAACAGGTTCATACCTTGCAACAACCAACACATGAAGACCTGGAATAACACCATTGCCACCACTACAAACTTGAATGACTCATCAATGCCGAAAAGCTGAAAAATGACAAAGCTATTTTTCATCTATTTTTGAGCTATGAGTAGTGTCATAAACACATTGAAGGTCGAAAATTTTAGGATTGTGGCCACCATTTCGAGAATAAAGACCGAAATCCGCCACAGATGAGTCCATCAAGAAATTACAGGCGAGTGTGGCGCCCACTAAATTGCAGCTCAAAATAATTCTGCATCCCAGAAAATAATCTTCATCACCACGTTGTGCTCACTGGGGACACTATGCTTTTCCTGGACTTTCAAAGCAAAAAATAGTGGTGAAATGTGGACAAAAAATAAAAAATAAAGGCACAGTTCACGATAAAAATGGTTTCTGAGTTCTCCCCCTAGGAATTCTCAGTGGCCCCCAAAGGTAACAGGAAGGACGCTGGCCAGAGCTCAACAGCTAGGACATAGGGGAGCTCCGTTACCGGATCGCCAGGACTTCCCGCCCCTTTATCGATGTCACGTCAGACGAGTGTCGAGGCGATACAACTGCAATATTTGTGACCCACACACAATCAGTTGGTTGCCGATTTATGAGGCGATGTTTTTCTCCCATTCTTTTCTTCTCTGTCATTCTTTCTGCTGCTGCAATCCTTGTTCTAAATTTTCACCTCAAGAGACCGAAAAAGGTGGGCTTTTTGCTGTCACTAGGGTTTTCTGTCAACTTTGCTTACTAGTGAATGAATTTTTATCTACCGTAGTCAGCTATTCGCATCAGGACCCACACATACGCACTGACACACATTGTTTAGCTCGCCCGAACGCCCCATTCTTATTCAATTTTCTAATCTCTTTCTCGTTTAGCCCTTTTTTTAACGATTTTTCGAAGCCTTTTTCACTTCGGAACCAACGATTCTCATTCTTTCATCCCTTCATCGCACTATTTTCTATCTTATCTTCCCTTTTTCGTCATAATCTGGAATACTCAAAATTATCGTGAACTGTGCCTTTAACTAGTGTTCGAATCCCGTCGAGGACGAACAATTGTCCGTAATTCGCCTTGGGAGACTTTCGCCTCGCATTCTGCCGTGAAGTAACAGCAGTCAACAAACACCAGGTCAAAACAAATTATCTAATGTTTTCATTTCATCGATTTGTTCCCCTTTTAGCTTTTGGCCCCCACTGCGTACAGCCCCAATCACTGCAGATATCTGAACTCAGTGGAGAGCATAGAAATTTTATCAGAAAGACATTGGATTGGATTCTCAAATGGCTCNCTCTGTAGAATCCAAGAATCTCAGCTATGTAATGCAAAAGAAGAAAAATAGAAGCTAAGGATAAAAAGAATGAACGAAAATCAAGGGAAACAGTGTTCCACTGGAAGTGCTTAGATGAAAGGGAGGGTGAGAGTAAGTATCGGAGGACAGGGACAGGATGCGTCTGATGATAATAAAAGTGCTTCAAAGGGATCAGGTAGTGGATAATGAGAAAACGACAGAGATCGAAAAACAAATGACTTTATTCGAAGTTGTAGACAGGGTTAGGGGAAGCTTTAGTGTGAATTGGATTTACTACGACATCAACAGCGACGGCTGTAAATTGGTAATGACTGTTAATGTTCTGGAGATCTTGGATGAAATGAAAAGAGAAAAATGAAATAGTAAATGGAGGGCAACAAAGGGTAGACAGATGGACTAAAATCAATTTCCCAGTGGCTGTGGTGTAGAAAAGGACAGAAAGTTGTACATTAAGGAATATAAACTGACTCGAACTTTCCTAGGGTTGAAGAAAGCTACCTCTCTGACTTCAGGGTGTGCTCTAACTATAGCATCTCTTCTACTCATATGTGGCTGCTCTGTATACGTCCAGATGAAGTCATCTCGCGACACTGACTGACCCATGAGATGATCAGAGCCTACAAAACAGAAAAAGATTCTCACATCACGAACTAACCAGCGTACGGGATTCGAGGCAAACAGCTCTGATATTCTAGAAAAGGAGATTATAGGCAAACGATAACATAAAAGGAGCACTGTAGAGGAGCCGCGAAGAAAGAGGAATTCTTGAAGTTGGCACGAGTGCAGCCGTTCTCTGAACCACGAATGGCAGCCAGCAACCAATATGGCTGTGGAATTATTCAAGAACATGTCAAAAAAATGTTGTATTAGAGATTACACAGTCATAACAGGAGCAACAAAGAGTAATAGCGCGTCATCAGATAAGGTACATAGGCAGATGAGTAATCGCCATATGTAGGAGCCTTCTTTTGAGGCGAACAACTTGCAATATTGCAATGAGACCAGAGTGAGTCTTCCGTCCACGAACCCTCTCTAGTGTGGAGATTAGTACATGGATTCAGCCCGCATCCATCGAAGTAGCGGTTTTTAGGAGTTTCTTCGAGAAAATATTTTGAAACAGACTTAGGACGACTTCGTTTTCCGAGACCAAACCTGGGTATATTAGGGACAAGGTTCGAACGAGTTTTAGTTCAATACTTGATCATTGGTCATAGTATCGAAATCATTTGTCAATCACCTTAGCCCAAGCAACGTCATGAAAAAGCACAGCTTTCTCTAGAGAGAGGAAAGGAAATTCATTAATCATCAGTGAAATAGGTATTAGTAGATGTAAAAGAAATCGCGAATTAGGATGTCTTCCCTGGCAGCAATTATACGGAGAGAAGTATGAGTAATGATTTCCTATGATGTGTAGTCGCAAACGAGTAGAGCATCGAATTCCAGTAAGGACTGGTAGTAGGAAGTTCAGTTGTAGCGGTCAAAAAACCGGTGTTGAGGATGTCTCCACTGAAGGTCTATTCAATATGGATTGAGCTCTGAAGTCAGGAAGGTCCAAAACGGGGAATACATTAAAAGAGAGGTCAAATTGTCTTGCACTAAAGAATGTTCCGACCCGGGCATATGTTCAAGAATGGAAACGATTAAAAGCAATATTCTTCGTGTGTGGTGAAGAGCTAGCTTTGGATTGATGTAAAGAGTTAGCTATTTATTTTCACTCCAAAGAAGCAGAGACGAGGAGTGACGATACAGTTACAGCATAGAGGGAGGTTTTCCTAGGAAACAGCTACACCTTGCATGGTCATTTGCCGCTTTATCACCACGCTGCTGTCAACTATGTGAATGAATTGGTCATTACAACTTGAAAAGCGGTGCGACGCAAATATAGCACGCCAACTATTTGATACTTATTTGTTATTGAGAAAATGAAGAAACGGCAAAATTATTCCAGGCTCTTCAGGTCTCATAATTAAAGCTAGCATCCAGGGGCACACTTGAATTAGCGGTGGCTTCACCATCAGATATGCTGGAAAATACGAATTGAGATAGAAGTAGAAATGCTTACGTTTCTGAGGTACTATACACAATCATCGACTTCAAAATCATGTCAACTTTATAACCGGTATTTTTGAGATATTAGATACAATTAGAACCGCTTCATTAATCTTGTAAATGACTGGCACTGTCGGAGCAGGCCTGTCCAGACTCACACTAGTTTCATGTACAATAAAATTCTTTCGAAAATTTGCATTTCTGTATTCAAGATAGAAGAATTGGATGAAATGTGAAGGAACAAATTTTGACAACCTAAACAGAACAAAGACTCTATAAATTCAAAAACGAGAATACCGTCACCAAAAAACGAAAGTTGTCAACTATGCGGCAAAAATGAAAGCAGTCGTCGATCATTAGGGCGCAGAAGTGCGGAAAAGACACTTTTGCTCTCTTCAGGACGCCATCAGATCTTGTCATTTTCCTGACTGAACACGAAAACATCGTTTTTACATGCCCAAGGCGAGAAGTCCTGTTACGAATAATCGCGCCGACCAGCTTATTGCAATGGCACATCTCCATCATGACCGATTGTACACGGAGGCAGCGTTTTAACAGGTTGGAGGTAAAAGGTCTTGGCACGACTAGCTGGTGCAAATACGTGTTGATGCGTCCAACCAATGCTGGAGTTCCTACGATGTTTTTAGAGGCATAAATTTACGTTAGAAACGGTTTCTGGGGTAGGCGGGCAGTTGAGTCGGCTTTGTGTAGTCGATTCGCCGCACGCGGCAGTCGCGGACGAGTTGCGTCACTATCGCAGTTCTGGGACTCTTCATACAACAGGATCGATATGCAGTCATTATTTTTAGCATGTTTTTACAGCTACTTCTTCCGCTTCTGTGTCCCTGTATCTTCTTCCCGAACATCCCGTCGCGCTTGCTGCACGCTATGTAATTGCAATCGCGGAACAACTAAAAAAGTTTTGCCTCGTGCCGCAAAAAAAAGAACTTTCAGCGTCATTCAGCATCGCTTAATGACGCTGACAGCATGTTAATGTTGCGTTTTTAAAGTCTAACTGTCCAAAAAGCGGTAAGGAGACAGCCGTGTCGAAAAGGTGATTGCGGAGCAGTTATTTATTTTCTTCACCGCCCTCAATATTTTCAAGTCTTCCCCACACCGAGCGTTCTCTTTAGCTCAGCTTCGTAGCCAGGCCGTTTTTCATGTTGACACCTCAACTCATGTAGATGTACGTTAATACGGCATTCGGAAATATTTGTTTGGTATGGCGAAAAGGGAGCATCAGGTACGTGGGACGGGCGCTACGTGCGTCCGAGGACGTGCGCGGCAACTTGCGCGACAAAGTCCGTGACGATTTGTATGACTTGACGCCAATTCTCAGGGCACAAACTCGAAGTAGAGTAGTTTACCAGGGAAGGATCCCAAGTCGAAGTGGCCATTTGAAATGAGACCCACACTAGTGGACGTGTTTTTGGATGCTGAGTTCGAATCTGCTTTCCAAACCAAGCGCTTCTCTGAACGGAGTTATGAGGGTGGTTTCAGGTAGCTTAACATGAGAAAATTTAAATTACTCGGACCTGCGGGGTACAGGTGCATCGACCCAAAACAGCAGAAGGTGGGAGTCTATCCCCTGAACTCACTTGCGTGACTGGGCAGGTACAGGTGACTTTTGGATGGGGATTTACTCCCCTATCCGCCACCTGAGATCGACCTACGTAGCCTTGTCACTAACCGGCCAGAGATCTTCCAGTGAGAGGGAACGTTTAGTGAAGATCTGCAGAGGATGCAATATATAGAATTGAAGTCATAATAGTAGGGAGGAAGTCTTGTTTTTGACAGCTAACCTCTATGTGTTATTCTGGTTCTCGTATTATACGACTTGTTAAGAGTTTTAGGTGTTCAGCAAAACTGGCTGACTTATTTGCTGATGTTGACCAGGGCCATATTAGAAAATGAAAACGATCAGAGACGGTTTAGAACCTTTCACAGCTTCATAGGCGCAATAGTATATACAACTAATACTTAAAGGAATCTGATGGAGCGTTCTTCATTAAAGTCAAGTGAAAAACTATCGGTACTCGAGTTCATGCAAAGAGCAGGGATGGGCCAGCGTGATCAAATCTAAGGCGGCATCATATCACTGAGCAAACACTAGACGTCATTGCGGACAAACCAAACAGAAAAGTAGAATGCACATGATGATTCACGTAAAAAAANAAAAAAACTCAACGAGACTTTTATGTACTGTTCGTGCATTTTCTACTCGAGTAGCTTCTCCAAAGACAAGTTCCGCAGAATCTTATGGATAGAAATCACATATCATAGATCGGAATCGGATTTTCAAACAGCAAAAAGAGAACTTCGAGGGAATAAATTGTCATTGGTAAAATCTAAGAAATGCAACGAATCTCTGTTTCAGTAAAACTTTTATGAGTAGAAATGTTCGAAAAAAGGGAGGGAGAATGAATCAGGACGCTTCACCACGAACTATTCAAAGAAACAAGACGGCTGCGTGCGCGGGGATGTGAGGTACTTGAATCAGGATCTCAGGTCTCTTCTCCCATACCAGAGAACAGGATCTTGGTACAAATAGTTGAAAACAAATTCGAGCGGAGAATAAGTTTAGTAAGGTGGTTCTACTACGCCTCCCAACTCTTATCCACCGGAGCTGAAAAATGAGAAATGGTTTTAGCTAAATATACAGTAGATGGAGTCACAATTACTATTAAAGAATTAACAAATTGTGATGTTATGTTTATTACGCTGCTAAGGCAAATGAGGTGGGAGTCGGGTTAGCTAAGCAGCCATTCATTTCTTATCAGCAACCAGCTATGTGTCAAACAGGGGTGCATCTGTGATGGGAGCACGACCCACGTTAACCGCTCAAAAGCCAGCGTCGGTGTCATCGCTCTACTAATTGCTGCGTTGAATGTCTGAATTGCCAGTTTTTCGGTCAGTAGTCAAGATGCGATGATGGAGGAGAAGCCGATTTTGCACAGTTATGTAGGACTGCACGTATCCAAGTGCAGTCGAAGAGAATCACCCTGACAACGGCGGATAGCTGGCTTTACAAACCTTTACGAACTTAGCTCACGAAAAGCAATCGCCGCGATTAAATTATTACTATAATCGAAAGGAGCTCATTGAAAGAGTAGAAAAACAATTAGTGTTAATTCATAGTGAAATCCCGCTCCCCAGAGAAAGTATAATCCTATACGTGTGACACAGACAGCTTAGCAAGAAATACGATCCATGGATCATGTCATGGGCAGCAGCGGGCTCCTATGAGTTATGCTTCATACCCCACAACAATATGACATTGACGTGTTTGTACAGGCTCGACCTTTGTGATAAAGGGGCCACACCAGTAAGGGGTCATTTCCCATTTGGTCAACGAGACCAAATGAAAATAATGACAGTAATGGTTTTCCGATACATCGAAAATCCGGTTCAATTGCAAGACTGCAGCAGCGGTCAAATGGTTACTGATTTGCAAAGGCTGTGGGATGTGGAGTTTTTGCTGTTTTCATCCCACCAAAAGTATATCTGCATTACACTTACACATCACGTTGACTTTGGGATCAGGAATCGACTCG